CAGCCCTCCTGGCTGCCCTCTGGCACTAGAGATAGCCAACACCTTTCCTTCACGCTGTGCTTTCCTCTGTCTGTCTGTCCACGTCTCCTCTCTCTCTCTCTCTCTCCTCCTCAGCTGGGTAAGGGAAGGTTTACAGGTCTGGAGAAGCACATATTTGTCAAACAAATTGGTCTGATCTCTGCATGCACTTAAATCTCTTCTACTTCTGTGAAGTGTTTTAATGACTGTTTCCATGAAAAAGCCCAATAAGCAAAAGGCTGCCCCAGTCCCTGCTCTGACTAACCGTGGTACTAATAAAGGGAATTAAAAGCTTTGTAGAACAAGCATCTCGGCGAGCTCTTCCCTTCGTCCTTGCGCCTGCTGCCCATGCGCCCCTCCCACTGACGAACTAATCCCCTGATCCCGGCCCTGCGAGTCCCCGGGAATGGGCTGGATGTGACACCTGGGAGGTCTGGCAGGGGTCTGGCTGCTTTGCACCCTCCGTGTGCCCCCCTGGGTCCGACCCTGCACTGCCCCGGGGGGAGGGATGAGGGCTGGACGCTGCATGGCATGAGCAGGGGGAGACATGGGGGACACTGATGGGTCATGGGGTGCAGAGCCCCACCAAGATCACGGTGCCTTGTGCAGCTCTCAGTGGCCAAACAGCCTGAAATCACTGCAGTCCCCTGTGGACCGCATCCCCCACCCCCCTGAACCCCAGTCCCCCCACATGGGGGCTGGGATGGGTGAGCAGTGGGAACATGACCTGTTGTGGGTGGGTGTCACCCACCAGCCCCACTTTGGCCCCTCGTCCCCCCTCCCCCGGGATGATCCCAGCTCTGATGCCCGTCCTGCAGCCACCACCTCTGCCCCATCCCGCTCCCGCAGCAGAGGGACCATGCGGGGTCCCTGCCCCCCTGCCCTGGCAGTGCCCTGCCCAGTCCCATGGCACCAAGGAGGCTCTGTGGAGGGTGGCCAGACCCCGTGGGACGGCTGCCTTTGCCTTGGCAAGGAGAGATGCTCGGGAAGAGCCAGCCATGTGACATTAGGGCCCTCAATTGCTGATCCTGTTCCATGCCTCGCTCTGCTGGGGATGAGCTGTACATCCCGAGCCAGCCACCGGCACCTCGTGGGGAGGTGACGCTCCCTGGGGGTGGGTGAGGGTGGCAGCATCACCCTTGTCACGTCTCCACCGAGCTGAGGACCATAAAACAGGGCATCATTAGGCTGGAGTGGGTCAAGGACTTTGAGTCTCCACTCGGCCGGCGCTGGCAGCAGCCCTTCATCACGCTCTTGAGCTGGGCTGGGAGCACACCATGTGCTCTGGGTGCATTAATGACCGTAACGGGTTCGTGGGGAAGGTGCTGGCTGAGTTATCAGCCTTGGCCAGGCTGGAGGTGACACCAGAGGGACAGGCACGCAGTCACCTTGCTGCCAGGCCGAGGACACGCGGCTGAGACGTGCCAAAAGGTTTATCGTCTGCATGCTCCTCTCCCAAAACACAATTGCTGCATCACTCCAGGAGCTGACCCTGGGCAGAGGGAGTGGGCCAGGGGCTGGTGTAGCACTGAGCCCAGTGATGGGCAGAGCAGAGCAGAGCTCTCATCTCTGTGCTCTGGGGGGAGGCCAAAACACCAGGTCTGGCCAGCTCTGGGCTGGGGCTGCTGAGCTGTTCACACCCAGTGCTGGGAGGGCAGAGCAGGATGGCTTCAGGAACACTGAGGTGCACCCGAGACCTTCACCTGCCCCAGAGCTGGTGGCCTCAGGAGCCAGCTCAGAGACCTGGCTGCTGTGGGACACTGCAGGGTGAGGCTCTGGCACTGCTGGGCACTGAGGAGGTCCCCGAGCTCTGCGTGTGCCTTGCAGGTGGCTGTGTCCCCAACCCCTGCCTGAACGGAGGGACCTGCGTGGAGGACGGTGCCCACCTCACCTGCTTGTGCCTGCCTGGCTACGGAGGCAGCAGCTGTGAAAGACGTGAGTCCCCTGGCTCCCACCACGGCCATGCTGGATCGTCCCCACCCAGCTCCTGCTGCTGTCTCGGCTGCTGAACCAGCGGCCCAGGAGACAGAAATGAGGGGAAATCAGGAGTTTGGGGTGAGTTGGGCTCCACCACCCTGACCCTCTCCTCTCTTCCCCCTTGCTCCCTGACATGGCTCAGCACTGTGGAGGTGCAGCCCTGGCTGGGACAGCTTCCAGGGTGCCTGCTACAAGCACTTCTCCACTCGGAGGAGCTGGGAGGATGCAGAGACCCAGTGCAGGCACTACGGGGGGCACCTGGCCACCATCCTGACCCCCGAAGAGCAGGACTTCATCAATGGTACGTGACCACACTGCATCCCTCCACCTCTGCCCAGGGACCCTCAGTGTTGGGCTGCAAATTTTAAATGAGTAGCAAAGAGCCAAAGCAGAGCCCAGCCCTGCAGGGCCGGCGGATGGGGAACAGACACATGGACACGAGGACAGACGTGTGAGAAGATGGATGGGTGCACAGAGAGACATGAGAGCAGACAGGTGCAGTCCTGGGCTGCTCACAACAAGAAAGACATTGAGGGGTTCAAGCGTGTCCAGAGAAGGGAACAGTGCTGGAGAAAGGGGCTGGAGCACCAGGAGCACCTGAGAGAGCTGGGGAGGGGCTCAGCCTGGAGAAAGGGATGCTCAGGGGGACCATCTCACTCATGGGCAGGTTTAGGTTGGATATTGGGAAATCCCTTCATGGAGGCGATGGCCAGGCACTGGCACAGGCTGCCCAGGGGAGTCCCCATTGCTGAAGGGATTTTAGAGACTTGTGGATGTGGCACCTGGGGACAGTGGTGCCCTTGGCTGTGGGGGAATGGTTGGACTTGATGATCTCACAGGCCTTTTCCAACAAAATTCCCTGATCCAGTGATGGGTGGACAGACCAGCAGAGGGTTGGATGTGTGCAAGTAAATTTGAAGGCAAAGCCACAACCTGCCTGAAATCAGCCTTGGAGGGATGGGGGGAAGACAGAGGGAGGCAGAGCAGTGAACAAGAGCCGTGGGAATGGGACAGAGAGCAAAGAGACCTGAAGGGACATGAGAGTGAAGGAGGAAGGGACAGGGAGGGACCGCGCAGGAAGCTGCAGAGACACGGAGGGACAGGCAGGGCCTGACAGGGACTGGCTGGACCAGAAAAGGGACTGGTAGAGCCGGGTGGGAACTGATGCAGACAGGCGGGGACTTGCAGGGACAGGCGAGAACCTGCAGGGACAGGCGGGGACAGGTGGGGACCAGGTGGGACAGGCGAGAACCTGCAGGGACAGGTGGGGACAAATGGGACAGGTGGGGACAGGCGGGAACAGGCGGGAACAGGCGGGGACCAGGTGGGACAGGCGGGGACAGGTGGGGACCAGGTGGGACAGGTGGGGACCAGGTGGGACAGGCGGGAACAGGCGGGGACAGGCGGGGACCAGGTGGGACAGGTGGGGACCAGGTGGGGACAGGCTGGGACAGGTGGGGACAGGTGGGACAGGCGGGAACAGGCGGGAACAGGCGGGGACAAGT